TTTAGGGTTTAGGGTTGAGGGCATAGACTCCAGAATTTACAACCCTACACCCTCAAGTCCAAGCTCTCCAAGCAAGCTGGGCCATTTTCCCGCATGGAAGTGAAATTCGCAGGGCTTCCATGGTTCGTAGCTCCGGCTTTTCGATCAAATTTCGCAGGAACTAATATCTATTTCTCAGGGTTTAGTTTCACGTTTGCAGCATTGAATATCGGAGCCGCAACCCTAAGGCCCTAAGCCATTGAATGGGGGAGCCTCCAGAAGTATTGGGCTTTGTTTGGTTGGCAAAAGGTCCGGCAGCAGACAGCTTTGATCCAAGTTTGAAGGGTATTTGTCGTGTTTTGGTCTCCACTGTTGTATCTCCTGAAGCTGCACTCCAGAAAGAGACGGAGCCAGTTTGGGGCGGCAACTCTCCTATATGCACCCACAAGTCGTGCAGGCCCAGCTACAACTGGCAGATCTACAAGAAGGCGTAAGAGCGGAAAGCCGGACATCCTGAATGATGGCTCCTGTGGCGGCCTCGGGCTTTCCGTGGTGATTGAAGCAAAAAGGCCTGAAATGTTGATAGTACTTTTTCCAGGTTTCGTTAACATGAGTTACAGAAAATGCGACGATAGTTACAGAATTTAGCAGAATCACTCCCAAAACCCCTAGTCCAATTAGTAAGGCACTTGCACTACAGCAGATGGATTCCCAGTTTCTCCAAGGTGCCTTCTGTGCGAGAGTGCGACGTGCGGATGCTGTCTCTGTCCGAAGGATCGACTATTTCAGCTGATGCAGATCTTTTGCTCCATGCGCTGTACAGTGGCATGCTGCATCGTTCTTCAAACCCCAAACCTTGGAGCTAATAGTATTGGGGCCTTAACAATTAAACTAGGATTCTGATGCTATACTCTCCTATAATCAGGAAGTAAGGAATTGAATAGTACCACAAATATTCGGCCCCTATACTATCGTATGCTCGAAGGGAGCCAGGGTTGCCTGGCAGGGTTGCATGGAACTGCTGGACTCGAGGCGCTATGGCGCCGTGTCCAGGGCAGCACGTACTCGTAGGATTAGCCCTTCCCGCCGGCGAAGTGGCAGAACCCAGGAGAAGAAACTGGAGATCCAAGTAGGTTGAGGGGTATGTATGTATGTATGTATGTATGTATGTATGTATGTATGTATGTATGTATGTATGTATATTATATATATATATATAATCTATATACCTATATACCTATATCTATATATATATATATTATTTTTTAAATTTAGGGTGTCGGATTTAGGGTTTAGGGTTTGTGCCTCGATTTCGTTAGCCGACTCATGCGACAGTTTCCGTGCCTTCTGACCACTCTGTTGCTGCTGGCTGGGCACCTTGCCTGAACCCTAAACCCTAAACCGCTTGCTCTCGTTAGGTCTCCGGTGGTCGCGGTGGTCTTCTAGGGTCTCCTGCAGTGGTGGTCTCTTGGTCTAGGCGCCTTATAGAAGGTCTGAAGCCTTATAGAAGCCCTATATTATACCCTAAACTCCCCCACCTGTAGTTTCCTTTAATCTTGGTGGTTCTCCCTCCTGAGCTTTCCGGGTGGGTCTCCTCGTGGTCTCCTCGTAGTCTCCTGGTCTTCTCCTGGTTCTCCTGGTCGTTGTAGCGGTCTTCGTTGTCGTTGGGTCAACCTGGTCGTCATGCTGCTCTTTCACTGTCTGGGCGTCTACGCTGGCCTGCTACCTATGGTGTAATATACCCTCAAACCCCACTCTATTATTAACGCCGCCCCCGCCCCATATGCACAAAGCCACAGGGCTTTGTGTTGAGCGTACCATTCCGACCTCGTATGAACACAGTGAATACAGTTACGGGTATGTAGTCCCCCTCGGAAAAAAGGGCGCAGCCTTGTAACGTTGAGCCGTAGAGCTTCCATGTGGGGCTTTCCGAAAATAAGGGGTACCCTATTTGGGGGTCCTTATAATAAGAATCCTACTGTTTAGGGTGCTACGTTCATGTGGGGCTAGGTTGATGCGTCGCTCGTCATGCTGCCGCCGTTCTTCGATAGAGAGCTTGGGATGGCCGCAGTGGAGCAAGAGAGTCTTTCAGTAGGCCACACGTCTACTGCAATTCTAGCCGACCTAGCTATCACCTCATACCTGAACCAACCGTTCCTGAAGAGCCTCATCCCGAAGCTCTTGACTTCATCCCTTTGCATTCTGCACATTCCTAGACCCTCACGATCCCCAATCTGACCTGGTAGCTGCCAAGAAAAGGCCCTACTGAGCCGCAGGCCCCAACTCTAAAGGAGCCAAGCCACCGAAGTGTTTCACATGGTTCCCGCACGCCGGGTTGGGAGCCGCCATGCCGGAAGCTGTCGCCGAGGAGCAGGGTTTGAAAGTTAGGGTACCTTATTTTGGGGTCCTTATAGATCCTAGGGTCCCCTATTTTTGGAATGCTGGCTGAAGCAGAGATTCCCCTGAGTTGAGAGGTTAGGGTTTCGGGTTTTCTATTGAAGAAGCCGAAAGAAGACCTCTACGCCAGTGTCAAATCTTGGATCCTGCGGGTGCTTGCCGTCCGAGCTCGTGGTCGGGAAGGAAGCTGGCGAGGTATGCTTCAGTCGGGTTAGTACCGGCCTTCTCAGCTGTACAAGGCTCTGATGGAAGTTGTGACTGCTTTGTATGCTGGATGCAGCATGTACTTGTAGAACAGGCTCAGCTCTCCAGCCTCAGCTTTTCAGTCCTAGAAATGGCTCGTCAACTGTACAGCATAGCAGGCTCATCGCAGATGCATAGCAAGAATATGCAACCGCCCACAAAAGCATAAACAAAGTGTGTTGAAGAATCAGTGCCCGTCATGACCGGCGTGCTGTGGCAACAGCATTGGAGGGTGTTCGGGAAGCAGCGGTGCCAAACCCACCCCGGTGACGACCGCAATGTCACTGCCGGCAATGCCTCCACGACAAAAACCCACAAGGACAACATCGTAATATGATGTACTATAGTATGATATCAAAAATAGAATACAAGATAGTATAGTATAGCACAACAGAACTACAGTCGCTGACACCACCTTCCATGGCCATGGCCACACAACAGCCGAGAAAAGCACTGGCGATTTGAAGACAATCTGTGCTGCCAAGGACTACAGAGGCAACCGCTCAAGCCTAACGTTCACGAAGGGTTTGAGTGACGAAGGAATGGCATCGAAGAGATTTCCTGAATTGGTCGAACACACGAACGCAAACGGCTTCCGACAAGAAAGCCAGCACAATTGCATTCCCACCGAGTAGAACATCCCTTGCAGGTCGCATGATATATATATATATACACATACGTACAGATGTGTGTATGCAAAATATAAACGTGCCGAGTCTAGTCTGATCTCATCTCATCTAGGTTGATATAGCATATTACAACATGATATAGCAGATTGTGTCGTAATGAAATGTAATGCAATGCAATGCAACAGAATATCGTCTAATATGAAATCATCATATATCACAACATAATACAATATAACGCAACATAACTTCACATGGCATCATAAGATTTGACATATGGTAAAGGAGCCGAACAGCATGTAACATATCATACCAAAAACGAATATACTGTACCATAATATGGTATAAACTAACGTAAGGTATCATAAGGTAATATACTGTATCGCCAAATAGTACATCACAGTAGAATATGATAACATCACGCAGTATAATTTACCATGGTATAACACAAGATGGTATAGTACAATATAATGTAATGTAACGGAATGTAAGGTAAGGCAATGTGATACAGCATAATAGCAGATGATGTGATGTGATATGGCATGATATGATGTGGTATGACATGATGTGGTATGATATGATATGATGTTGCCGGACATGATATGACATGATATGATACGATAGATTGTAACAGGGTAACGATTAGACGCATATATGGGAGTGTATATTGTATATATATATATGTTATTTTAATACATACATACATACCTACCTACCTACGTACGTACATACATACATACATACATAGATACATGCAAATACACACACATACAACACATATATAATGTATGTATGTATGTATGTATGCATGCATGCATGCATGCATGCATGCATATATATATATATATAGCTTGATACACAAACACATGCATACAGAGTTAAATGCAGCTGTTGGCGATGATCAGCCGTGTAGCCCAGCTAACATCTCCGCCAGCACAGACCTGCTCCTCCCACAAGGTTCATAAATAATGATGCTCTTGATGGTGGTAGCAGAGTAGAGGCAATAGTATCACTACCGTGAGTGAGCTTACAGCAATGATAACCGACAAGAAATAGAAATGGGCCGATGGTGCGATCACAGTGTCGTGCAACCGAAGGACCCGAAGGCGGAGGCTTCGAAACCCGAGGCCTCCGGCGAGACAGCGCAGGACAGCGACCGAAGAGCCGGTTTTGTTTTCGTCATGGTTTAGGGTTTAGGGTTTAGGGGTTGGGGGGTTTAGGGTTTAGGGGTTGAGGGTTTAGGGTTTAGGAGGCTCCTGTGTTGGGAAGCTGCACTGTAGGTCTGTAGGATGTCGGGGTGTAGCATTTTGGGGACAGGGTGTCGACTGATGTAGGGTTCACAGACGGGCCGGAGTCCTGGAAGGCTTTGGCGGTGTGTACAGCGGCTGGTAGAAGTGCTAGCTGTTTGGTTTTTGACTGCAGATTTGGCTCCTGGGCTGTGAGGATGAACACCTGGTTGTATTTATGCGGCTCATGTTCACAGAGAGTTTTGCAAGGGGCTAAAGGATGTTTCGATATGTGGCTTATGGTGTTTTACGGGTGCAGGTTCATATGGGGTGCTGATCGCGTTTGTAGTTTGGTGAGCCACAGATCGGTTTGGGGTGTAGAAGGGTGGTCTCGGGAATATTGCCGAGAGCATATTTGGTGTGTCGAAATGGGGATTCGATTCCAGGTTTAGGGATTTAGGGCTTTAGTAGGGGGTTTGGACTTGAAGGTTTGGGGACTTGAGTATTAGGGGCTCAGGGTTTAGGGAGTAGTTTGGAGGTCCAACCGAAGCTGTACAGGAAGCAGAAGCAGGTGTTGAACAGGCCGACTGAGGAGTGGTAGGCTGCCCTCCGTCAAGTATTGAAAATCCACCCCTCGAGTCATTTCATGGCGCTAATACACCCCAAACCCAGTACCCTCAGCCCAAAACCCTCAAACCCTAAACCCTAAACCCTCCTGAGCCAAAAGCCTGACGCTCCGAATCCCCAACTCCGACCCAAGATCCCACAAGTTATCAAAAGACGTTACATCCAAGAGCGGTGACCCAAAGTGGACAGTTTTGGGTTTAGAGGTTCGGCGTCTCGGGTTTTGGTGGGGTTGGGGGTCCTCTTCAGGGTTTAGGGTTTTTGTTATATTGTTTCAGGACCCATGAGCCTGCCAATAACGCGAGGGAGTAACCTTTATACCAGGAATAGAGTTTCGCAGTTCGTAGATTGTCTAGCATTTGCTGTAGAGAAGACATCCGAAAGGCGCATTGCAGATCATCAGTGTGCGGTATTCTCGGATTTTTTGCTATTTTTTCTACAGATTGTGCAGCAGATTCGGAAAAGTAGTGGACGCCGACACAAACCTCAAGCGGGGAAGAATCCCCCCAGTAAGGGACCCCCTCCATCAGAATAAGAACCCTCCGTGCACCATTGAAATTCAAAACCCCCCAACCCAAAAACTAAAATCTCAGACCTGTATCCTAAATCCTATGCCGGCACGTGCAGGAGCCTACTGCCGAGATCAGTGCAGAGGGGAAAGAGACTGCGCTCCGATCCCGGCTTCGTCCAGCAATGAGACTAGGAATCCTAGGTAGTATTCGGGAGACTCCTCAAAGGGGACCCTTCCGAACCCTACTTGTGGCTCTCTTAAAAGGGACCTTATTGAGAGGGTCTATATCCCCAAGGGTCCCCCTAATCCTAACTCCCAAGGAAGCAGGGCATGATGGGTACCCTAGGAATCAGAATACGGGTGAGGTGGTGTATGATGGCATAGTATAAAAGGGGGTGTATACGGGCATACTGTCGCTAGTAACCACACCAGTAAACCCTAAACCCCTAAACCCCCAAACCCCTAAACCCTAAACCCCTAAACCCTAAACTCCTAAACCCTAAACCCCTAAACCCTAAACTCCTAAACCCTAAACTGCCCTAAACCCTAACTAAGCCCTGACAGTCAGCAGCGGAGGCGCAGATGCGAGTCGAAGTTGCAGGGTTCTGCAGCCCTCGAGCCTGGAAAGCCTGAACTGTTACAACCGAGATTCCCAAATTACGTACCTACGGTTGATGATAAGAATCCTGCACTACCCAAAATAAGGAATGTCCCATTGCCATAGTTTAGGGTCCTTAAGGTCATGCAGGATTTACATCATCCACAGTACCTATACGCTCCATTGTGGTTCCCTTTTGGGGGATTCATACTTAGAATCCTATAAGGTAACGAACAACTATGGAGCCTATGGGTAGAGACTCTAATGTCTAAACACCGAAATCTGGAACTCCCAATCGGGGAGGGCACATGGGGGGTGAAACATCGGGGACTCTACATGGAGCTTGGAACTGCATAAACCCTATGTACACCTCTCAACGTGCAGGAATTAACCCATTCAATGGGTCTGATAGTAGAAGCCCGAGACAGTAGCCTCGAAAGGCTTGGCAGGTAGCCTGTAACTCATACTTTTTCGAAGAAGTATAGGATGCAAAGACAGATCTTAGTATAGGGACCACGACCACGACTGCCGACGGAGAAAAACCATAGACAGCCCTGCAAAACCTTGGAAATCTGGTACTGTATGATGATTCGGGATTTAGAACGCTTGAACAGCTGTTGTTAAATATAGCTCAGGCCTCCAGATGGCAAGGGGAAGGGCAAAGGAAAGGAGAGGAAGGCCGCTTTACCAGAGCTGCGTGAAAGTTGGGATTGAGGGTTTTTGGAGTTTGCGTATACCCTCAAAGGATTTGAGTTTGGGGTTTAGAGTTTAGGGTTTGGGTTTTGGCTCGGTAGATATGCACGGCAAGTGGCTGCAATCACAAATCTGCGGCACGAGGCCTGAGGCTGCTTCAAGCTTGCGATGTGTAGCACTGGGAGATGTAAAACGTACGACGAACTGAAAAGCTGACTTCAACACGTGTTCAACAGTCAGCTGTCGGATTTGGCAGGCTCACCTCTGGAAGCAGACTCATGTTACGGGTTAGGGCTTGGTGTTCCAATCACAACGCACGGAAGCCCCAACACCAGACTGGCTGACCCCCTCACCTGTAAGTCTAAGTCTCTCTACATCACAACTATCAGGCTCCCCCCATAATGCGATGTGTACAGAGGCCCAGTCTTTTGGGGTTTTGGTGCGTTGGGTGTATAGAGTATAGGGTCTACGATCTAGGCCCAGGCCTTTTCAAGCGCCTACATGAGAAAGTGGGCTTAGGGGAAAGTATGAAAGGCTTCTGTATACTAGTGTCATGGCAAAATCCTTAACCCCGTGTTTCGGCAGTCCCATCGGGGCGAGCTCTCGACCTCCGCAGTGTGACAAGGGGGGGCCCCATATTGCACTTACAACAGAGACCCCCGGAGGGATCGATCTGATCCCTCACCGACCTGAAGCAGACAAGCCCGCAGCCTAAGCCGTGGCCAGAAAACCTCATACTGGATCTCCTGGGATTCGCTGGAGAGGCCCACAGTGACATTCCTAACAAGGGTTCCTGCAAGGGCCAAGTGAAGGCTAAAACGAAGGATCTAGAAATAATTTTAGGGGCCCAAGCCGTTGTGGGGTATGTATGTTCTATTACTCATCATAGGGACCTTCTAGGGGATACTAGCATTTATTCAGACGCGATAAAACAGTCTGCGGCTTCGGGTTTCTAAGGTTGGGCTCAGGGGGGCTAGGATTTGGGTCGAGGGCTTCAAAAGTTTCAGATTTTGGGTTTAGGATGTGGTGTGAGTTTGTACGCACCTGGAACCCTGGACATTTGGAGGTTCAAGTTTTGCTTGCTGTAGTGAGACGGATGGTACAAGTACAATGACAAGCAACCCCCACTCGCATCAGTTTTGTTCGCCGAAGGCTTTCTGTCCACTCATCCGCGCCTGTTGCTAGTATTGATGACTTGGCGTTCATTGCAATTAGAACAAGTAACATGACATCGCTCTTATTGTTGCACCTTTGTCCTGCGTTTTTCGCGGTTGTCGTTCATGTTACCATCCTGACTCTGACTAGGTTTAGGCTTTAGGGTTTAGGGCGGTCTTGGTTGTGGATGATCGGGCTGCCACCGCCTATCATTGCTCCAGCTGCGGCTCTTCTGCCGTTGCTTCTCCTACTCCTATTCCTACTCCTAGTACTCCTACTGCTGCTGCTGCTGCTGCTACTACTACTACTACTACTACTACTACGACTACTGCTACTACCACGACTGCTACACCACCAACAACAACAACTACTACTACTCCT